TCTGGTAGCATAGTGGCTAAGGCACTTGACTGCTAACCAGAAGGCTGGCGGTTCAAACCCACCAGCCACTCCTTGGAAGGAAGGTTGGGCATTCCTACTTCTGTAGTGTTACTGCCTTGGAAACCCAAGGAGGGGTTGCTATGAGTTGGGGCCGACTCGATGGCAAACAACAACAACAACAACAACAACATGTGTATAGCCATTGTTTATGTTGTTTAAAAAAAAAGCTATTTGCAATGAATAAGTTGTTGGTCTTGCAAAATTCTATGCTGTAATCTCCAGCATCATTTCTATTACCAAAGCCATATTTTCCAACTATTGATGAGTCTTTTTTGTGTACAAAGAAACAAAGATTATTCCAATCACTAGTAATAATCAATACATCTTTATTGCATGTTTGGTCAATTTCAGACTGCAGAAGTTGGTAAAAAAAATCTTCAACTTCTTCATATTTGGCTTTAGCAGTTGGTGTGTAACTTTGAATAATAGTAGTATTAACTGGTCTTCCTTGCAGGTGTATGGATATTATCACTGACAGCATTATACTTCAAGATAGATCTTGAAACTTTCTCTTTGACAAACCATTCACTACTAAGTAAATTTTTTGTCCATTTTTTATAAATATTTTGATCATATTATGAAAATAACTTCTGTTTATAGTTTTTATGTGTTTTAAAATTATGAGTCAATGTTGAAATGCTTTTCCTATGTGTCTCAAGATGACCACCTGATTTCTCTACCTTTTGTATTTTGTTTTGTTTTCTGTTAATGTTGTACATTAATATTTTGAATGATAAACCACCCTGTTGGATGCTGACAGTTTGTTAGCCCACCTCTGTGTTTCCTCCTCTGCCCATATTTGTGAAAACTGATAAGAAAACCTGAGTACTTCTTTGGCACTGGAAATTTAAACTATGTGCAGCAAAAATCACTCTGACTCGACCCTTTAAAACCATAACTCAAAAAAACCAAACTCATGGCAATTGAGTCGATTCAACTCGTAGCAACCCCTCCTTGGATTTCTGAGGTGGTATCTCCACAGAAGTAGATTACCCAATCTTCCTCCAAGGAGTGGCTGGTGGGTTTGAATCACCAGCCTTCTGGTTAGCAGTCAAATACCTGAGGCACTACGCCACCAGAGCTCCCCCTAACAACCATAACAAACCTAACAACCATAATAACCTGAAACCAGTCTCATTTCTCAGCTCTCTCAAGCCATTTCTGAACCAGAAGGAGGCTTTCTCAGCTCTCTCCAGAAAGCTTGTTATCTGAATCATAAACATTTCCATATGCTCTTTGTGCACGTGAATGCCTCTGCCTCTACTGCTACTGCTGCCTATGCCCCTATCACTGAAAATTATCCTGACCTTAATGTGACAGGGATTGATTCAACTATTTCCATGGAGGAGGTCCCTAACCCTGACAATATTGATTTGAAGCTCTCTGGGAAGAAACTTATAAATATGAACAAGGTAAAGAGAAATCCCCTCCAAATCTACAGTAAAAGAAAGAAAGAGATGGAGAATCAAGGATAGAGGGACAGGAGGAATAAAGGAAGGAAGAAGGAGGGAAGAAAGGACTGAAGGAGAGAGAGGAAGAAACCTGAACATAGAGGGAAGAGACAAAATTGAAACAGAGATCCACAAGTTGACCCAACTGTAAATTCAAACTTTACTAAAACAATTTATGCAACAAAAAGATAAAAGGATGCTGATTGACTTTGTGTCAGTACAATATAGGTTCTGCATTATCTCTAACATCTACTGAAATACACTAATTGGCAAATCTTCATGGCTTTAATCAAGTCTGGATTAAAATTACAGTTATATCTGGGGATCCCACTAAATTTAAACATGTTACATCCTATAAGGGAACTGGGCTTAATTTTTGGCCAATGCACCTTAAATGCAGCCACCATCAGGCAGTGGAAAATTGCATGCTGCTATCATGCTGAACAGGTTTCAGCAGAGCTTCTAGGCCAGGAAAAGGAAGAAAGCCTTGGCAGTCTACTTCCAAAAATCAATCAATGAAAACCCTGTGGATTATAATGGTCTAATCTGCAAGCAATCTTGCAGAACTGAGTAGCATTTTGTTCCATTGTACAAGAGATTGCCATGAGTCGGGCTGACTATACGCAGTTAACAACACCCATCCCCTATAATCTTGGAGAAAATTACTGAACATAAACTAGATAACAAAGAGTATGGTTTACCTTAAATATTAGACTTATTGCCTTGCCAAAATTCCATGGTCAAAGCATCCTTTGCCCTAAAGTATTCCATAGTGGGCATGGCTGCTCTGACTCAAGGAGTTAAAATTAAATTGCATCTTTGGCACTTGCAAATTCACTTGACAAAATTGGATCTGTGTCTTTCCTTTTGTTAAAATAGTTAATATGATCCAGTTAAATTAAAACAAAGACTTCAACGATTGAAACCCATTATACAAGACCAAGACCCATTATAGAAAGGATGATTATCTCCAAGGCTTCTCCATTTAACAATCTAATTTGACCTATTTTTAAACTTGAAAAGAATGAATGGCCTCTCACAGTGGATTGCTATCACCTTAGTGCCATGGTCTCACCCATTAAGGCCCCAAACCCAATATTATTGAAACTATTGACTCCATCTGATCAGCAACTGGTAAATATTTTGCTGTTATAGATTTGGCTGATACATTCTGTTCAGTGCCTGTTTCAACAGCCTTTCACCTACAGTTTGTATTCACCTCTGAAGGGGCATAATACACCTTTACTCAGCTACTCATGTAGTGACTCAACTGGCTTACTATCATATGCGATTTTTTCAGTCAAGATCTTGACTGCATCTAACTTTCTCCAGGAGCACAGGAATAACATTACATTGATGACATTCTCCTCTGAAGAGATTCATTTAACACATTCATTTCAAAAACCAAAACTCATTGCCGTCAAGTCAGATTCAACTCATAGTGACACCTCCTTGGGTTTCCAACGCAGTATCACCATGGAAGTAGATTGCCCAGCCTTTCTTCTGAGGAGTGGCTGGTGGATTTGAATCACCAGTCTTCTGGTTAGCAGTCAAACACCTTTGGCCCTACACCACACATTCATTTAGAACATACAAATATTCATGAAAGAGTGCCCCAAAAGAGATTGGGCCACTGGCCCACAAACCCCATCATCTTAAATTATATTTTGTAAACCAAGGGCAATCCTACTTCCTTAGAGATACTGCCTTGGAAACCCAAGGAGGGGTCGCTATGAGTCGGGGACAACTCGATGGCAAATAACAACAACAACAACAACAAACCAAGGGCAATTCCATCCCTGTAAAAAAAAACAGCTATTGACCTTCAGCTCCCACATTATAGCACATTAATCTTTTAGGCCTTTTGGGGTTCTGGAGGCAACATATTCCTAATTTACAAATTTCACTTGAGCCCATTTCTGCTGTTCCTAACAGATGGGTTCATCTTGAATGGGGCCCCTCCAACATAATGCTCTAGAACTGTTCAAAATGCAATATAACACACACCTCCATTAATGCCCTCCAGAGAATCCTTCATTGTAGAGGATTTGGTAACCTCCTCTCATACCTCCTAAAGTCTCTGGACCACCCACGAAGGCCAGTTCCCCTTCAAAGTAATTCCCTGTGAATTAGCAACAGAATCTATTACACCTGGGTAAATCAACTCTCACAAGATCTCTAGACTGAGTTTAGAACTTGAAAAACAATTCTGCACAACATCTTATATTATAAAAGCATTTTATTTGAACACACCCTGGATGTAGTTAGAATTAACTAGGGGGTTGGGGTGGGGATTCTGTTGTGATGGTTTAGACGCTGGAAAACTTTCTATTCTTTTCTATCAAGGACGATGCTGTAGGGACCTAAAGACTGATTTGAAGCAGAACATAAAATTGTGACGTGGAAGACTAGAGTTTGGGGATTGGGCACTCTAGTGGACTAAAGAATGTGGTTCTGCAGTAAGATTGGTCTAGACTACACTCCAGAAAAGAGAAAACTTTGGCTTGGGCAACTCCCTAGAACAGGCAGTCGTTGTGGGCTGGGATGCTGCACTTGGAAGCAGTGACTTGGATAAGGGCTCTTAACTCTTGAAGCTCTTCCGGCTAGAAGAAGTAGTGGAGACAAATTTGACGCTGGAGCTGCTGCCACCACCACCACCACTGCTGAAGCCCATCCCCAGGCTTCGGCCACTGCCTCCACTGAAGCCAGAGCCCCCGACACTGAGGCCTCCGCCCAGGCCGACACCCCCACCACTGCTGGTGTAGTAGCTCCCACTGCCACCTCCACCAAGTCCACCGCCAAGACCTCCACCGAGGCCACCACCGAGGCCACCACCGAGGCCACCACCGAGGCCACCGCCAAAGCCACTGCCACCGCCGTAGGAAGAGGAGACACTGTTCGTGACGACAGCTGCAGAGAAAAGAGAGAGAACTTGGTGAGGTCAGTCTGTTAGATTGATCCTATTATGTCCAAGTTATTTGATCTTGTTTTTGTTAGAGCAAAAAACCTAGCTCCTTTTAGAGAATAGTAAACAAGGTCTGGAAGACTAAAGTCATTTAGTGAAAGCCCCTAGCAGAATGATGGTAACTATAGTAGGCATTTATGGAAGCTCTGGTAGCATAGTGGCTAAGGCACTTGACTGCTAACCAGAAGACTGGCGGTTCAAACCCACCAGCCACTCCTCGGAAGGAAGATGGGGCAATCTACTTCCGTAGTGATACTGCCTCGGAAACCCAAGGAAGGGTTGCTATGAGTCGGGGCCGACTTGATGGCACATAACAACAACAACAACAACATACACATGGGGGGGGGATGTTGCAGGGATATGGTAAAGGGTGGGGTTCAATATGTATAAGATTATCCTTATAATCCTAATTTTTAAGAGGTAGGACATGGGCCAAGTAACTTCATGTCCCAATCTGGGTTTTTTCTCCTCCATCACCTGCTTCTCACTAAGTGTATTAAATAGCCATACATTGGGACGGAAATGTCAGGTATCTAGAAATAGGATTCTGAGTTGGCACCAAATATCCCATATTATCATCATTATTACTGTACAAATTTACTTACAGATATTAACTGGTCCAACTCCTTCTCCACTCAGTCTGAAAGGAAGAGAATTGAAATAAGAGTTGAAAACTCCAAAAAAGTCAACATTAATTTATGTAGCTAATTTCCATTGCCATTTTTAGAGCTCATTCCATAAACTAGGAACCTGCATGCCTGAAAAACTGTTTAAATTAGAGCAAAAGTTAGGTCTATGGAGGGATTTCCCAATGTAGAAGATTTAGAAACAGGTTGCTGAAGGAAGATTATAATTCACCTTCTCCTTTACCCATTATTTGGAAAGCATAAATTAGAGGCTTTGCGAAATATGACTAAGTGCAATGCAGTTCTGCCCTGTAGGAGCTTACTTATAGAATTAGAGAATTTGACATGGACAGGAATCCTTCTAATAGAAAATAGGCCATGGTCAGTGTCAGAAGATTGACACAAAAGGAACTGTTTAAGAGCCCAAAGCCAAGTGAATTTAATTTAGCTATAGTAATCATAAAAGGCTTCTGGAGGTAAATGTGACATGAGCATTGAGGCTGAGAGAAGAACATGAGCAAAGTAGACATGGGAAAAAGTTCAGGATGCATTTGCCTAGTTGCTTAATTGTGAAGAGAGGAAGCATCCAAGAATACTGGTAATGAGAAATAAGACTACAAAAGTCAATTGTGGCCAGATTGTATGGGGTCAGCTGTATGCACATCTATTAGATTCTAAGGGTAATTATTATACACAAGATAGTAGTTCTTTATATGTATATTTCATACCCTATAGTGAAGAAGAAACTCTGTTTTAGCAAATGAGAGGCCATCTGGCTCATGATGTCAAACAGGTGTCACCCACCTGCACTCCTCGCCCTCCAGCAGCTTTCTGTAGGTGGCAATCTCCACATCCAGGGCCAGCTTGGTGTTCATCAGCTCCTGGTACTCACGCAGCAACCGGGCCATGTCCTGCTTGGCCTTCTGCAGGGCATCCTCCAGCTCAGCCAGCTTGTTCCTGGCATCTTTGAGAGCCAGCTCCCCACGCTGCTCAGCATCAGCAATGGCACTCTGCAGATTGGCACACTACAGAGGGAAAGGAAGGAACAGGGGAAATGGGGACCTTTGTGGCTAAGCTGGGTCTTGAATGTCTCTGAAATTCTGGGTCAAGTAAACTAAATCATCTAGAGCCTTAGGTTAGAATGCAGTGCATCTGTCCTGTGCGTTGTGGGTGGTGGAACACTGAAACACTGACACTTATTCCAGCTCTCTGTGTATATGTGTGCATGCACCCAAAGATCTTGTTAAAATGTAGATATTCAGTATATCTGAGGGTAATGGGGTGGAACTGGAATGAACTGGTTCAAACCCCACTGCACAAGAGCACACAGGCAAAATTTGAACAAAACAAAATAGGCTTCCCATTCAGATCTCAGTCCCCTCTTTGTCTTCTTTCAATCTCTTCCTACCTGCTTCTTGACATTGTCGATCTCAGCTCTGAGCCTCTGGATCATGCGGTTCATCTCAGAGATTTCGTGCTTGGTGTTGCGGAGGTCATCACCATGCCGACCAGCTGTCTGCTGCAGCTCCTCATACTGATGCCACCAGAAAAGAGAAAAGATTGAGCTTGCATGAGGTTGCACAGCACTTTCCCAAAGTTCACAGGCAGTGGGCCAACAAGAAATGGCAGTGTAGTATCTGGACTTCTGGGGCTGGGTTAGGCTTTGCTAACATAGACCCAGTCTTAAATAATTTCCTTTTTAGTGGTTTTGCTTTCACTGAGATACTGGTGTGAGATTCAAGGTGACATTATCATTAAGATTCTTGGATTTAGATGGGAAATGCATACGTAGCAGTTTCCATAACTCATCCCAAGAGGGATCACTAGATTTCAGGACCCCATCCTTAGCATTTTGCCATGGCCTAGAATTCTAGACCCATGTCCATCATTCACTCAGGAGACATTCCCGTATGGCACCCACCTTGGTCTGGTACCAGGATTCAGCTTCCATCCGGCTGCGGTTGGCAATGTCCTCATACTGGGCCTTGACCTCAGAGATGATGCTGTCCAGGTCCAGGTTGCGGTTGTTGTCCATGGACAGCACCACAGACGTGTCCGAGACATGACTGTGCATCTGGGCCAGCTCCTGCAGAGAGAATTGAAGTCATTCATCAGATTCTGTGGTACTTAATGTCAGTTCTAGTCAAATATTCCTTTCACTGTGAAGTGTCAATTTGGGAAAAATATAACCACTCACATCACAAAATCATAGCAATCCAAATCATTGTTACCTGTATTTCTTTAAAAATTTTAACAACTCTGAGCTTCCAAGAAACCTCTTCTATGGAAACTCTCAGATTCAAATCATTTGGGGTCATAACCTATTTTAAAAGGATCTATTTGCATAGTGTATCATGTTGGGAGGCAAAAATAGGGGATAATACCCCAGAAATGGGAGGTAATCAAGAAAGGTATAATTGTGTCTCTCTAGTAATTCACTCTGTGGAGATATGTTAGCACAGTGATTAAGACATTTGGCTGCTAAACAAAAGGTTGGTGATTCGACCAGCAGCTCTGTGGGAGAAAGATGAGGCAGTCCGCTTCTGTAAAGCTTTACAGCCTTAGAAACCCTATAGCAGTGGGTTTGGTATTTTGGTTTTAATAATTCACTGTAAACCTCACTCTGCAAAATTATTATTGAAAAGCTTTTTTGCTTTAAGTTTGACCTATTTCCCCCTAGAATTAGGTTTATAAAGAATAAAGTGTAAGTAGTATTAGAGGGGAGCCCTGTGGCACTACTGGGCTGCTATGAGCTGGAATTGACTCAACTGCAACAGACAGTATTAAAGGGGTATGAAAGACAGAGTTGTGTCCACAGCTTAGGACTCATTGAAAGTCACTTAAGTCTGGGGAGTCTCAACCACCCGGAGGTCGTAATCTATGGTGGTGACTCCAGTGGCCAGCTGTCTGGGACCTGAAAAGGGAACGTTCCTCACCGCCTCAAAGAAGAGCTTGAGGAAGTTGATCTCATCCATCATTGCATCGACTCTGGCCTCTAGTTCCACCTTGTTCATGTAGGCAGCATCCACATCCTAGAGAAATAGGGATGATTGGCATTGCAACAGATTTCCACCCTGACTTAAATGAACCACTCCTTTCAGAAAGCATAGCCACAGGCTATAGGCTCTTTCCTGCCCACACACACCTTCTTCAGCATCACAAACTCATTCTCAGCAGTAGTACGCTTGTTGATTTCATCTTCATACCTGGTGGCAAAAGGAATAAAAAGCACTGGTCAGAGGATGAGGGGCAGGTGAGGGCTGGGGTCTTTATTGAGCCAACTCAACTGTGAGCCTGTTTCCTTATTGGGAAGGGGCTTTTCACATCTCATAGGTAGAGAGGGCGCACTGGTATGAGCCCCTGGGCAGGATCCTCATCCATTAGGGCACTGGTTTCTCTGTAACTGCCTACCAGATAATCATTCTATTATTGCTATAATTAACTTGTTTTAAGAATATTCCTATAGAAAAGCTGTGCTGTTCTCCCCCAACTCCACTTCCAGTTAATTTCTCTGGTACTTTTTTCAACGATCAGAGCATCAGAACAAAAGAAAAAATTGAAGAGCCCACCTGCTGATTCACAAAGACTAAAGAAATTATTTGACCACTGTGCTGCGCTATGCTATCACTGCTTGTTTTGTGGGGGAGTCATAAAAAGGCCCTTATTGTGTACTGTAGGTATACTGGGGAGGAAAGTCTCTTTGGGAGCAAGGATTACATGATTGCATATTTCACCAGGTGGTGCCTAGGGTGTGGTCTGTTGTTCCGGCTGTTGGCTATGTACTCAACAGAGGGGCACTAGGACTGGAATGTTGTAAACATGAGCCTGGAAATGTTTTCTTTTTTAGGACTTTAGGTGTCCATGGAAGGTTTATGTTTCTAGCCTATGGGTATAAGATACATCTGGTTATGAAGGCTATCTGATGACAAGAAAACATCGCCCACTCCTATCTTCAACCCCACCCTAACTCACTTGTTCTTGAAGTCCTCCACCAGGTCCTGCATGTTCCTCAGCTCAGAGTCCAGGCGGCCTCTCTCCCCAAGAATACTATCCAGCTGCTTCCTGAGGTTGTTGATGTACTGCTCAAAGAGGGGCTCCAGGTTCTGTCGTACAGTCTTGTTGCCCTGCTCCTGGAGCAGAGTCCACTTGGTGTCCAGGACCTTGTTCTGCTGCTCCAGAAAGCGTACCTGGAGGGGAGCAAAGAGTTTGAAGGTGGAGAAATTTAGATTTCATGTTTCAGTGGTTCATTAACAGGTTTTCCCTTCATCCTCATGCTGTCCCCCTAACCCTTTCCCATGTGGGCTGCTGGTCCTGGGCTCTTGGAGGGGAAGTCCTGAGTGAGGTGCATAACCTTGCTTGTCTAGGGAAGACAGAACACGCATTAAGGCGGGAGTGTGGCCCAGTGCAGAGGTGATCACTCAAGCACTCAGGCTGCTGCCTGATGTCCCTGTTATGTGAGACCTGGAATTCATCTTTTCACCCAAAGAGCCCTGGTGTGGTCATATCTGCACTGAGAAGAAATCAGGTCCTCCCTGGCAAGCTCTCAGTCTGTTTTTTTAAAAATCTAGGGTGAAGAAACAAAGGAAGCACATAGCTGTAAACTATGTGAGTATTTGCATAAAGCCAGACATATTTTTCCTCTTCCCACTTTCTTTGGCATTAACGACAGACTCTCAGTGTTGTTGTTTTTAACAAGGGCTCATGTCTCACCTTGTCGATGAAGGAGGCAAACTTGTTATTGAGGGTCTTGATCTGCTCCCTCTCCTCAGTCTTCACCCGTTGGATGGTGGGGTCAATTTGCAGGTTGAGGGGAGTCAGGAGGCTCTGGTTGACAGTGACCTCTTGGATGCCTCCAGGAGGGCAGACGGGGAAGCCAGGGCCACCAAAGCCCCCTCCAAAGCCAGCTCCACCACCAAGCCCAAAGCCACCACCAGCTCCACCGCCGAAACCAAATCCACTCCCGGCTCCACCACCAAAGCCATAGCTGCCTCCAGCACCTGCACCAAATCGGTTCCTGAAGCTGCCGCCACTAGCGCTGATGGAGATCCTCTTGGAGCCTCCCAGGTTGTAGAGGCTCCGGCTGCCAAAGCCACCAGCTCCACAAGCCCCACCAAGGCTGACCCTGCCAAAGCCACCACCACCACCCCCAGACCGGGACACAGAGCTGAAACTTGTGCGGGAGACGGATGGGGTGATGGCCGAGGCAGCACTGAAGCTCCGGCTGCCCCCACTCCTGAAGGACACACTGGATTGACGAGACATGATGGCTTGTTCCTGGTAGAGCAAGAAGAGCACTGGACACTGAAGAAGTTGAAAAGTGCTGGTGAGAACAGAGCTCAGGAGGAGGCAGAGGTGGCTGTTACCGTGAACTGCAAACCTCTTTTATCCCCTCCAGAACTGGGCTGGGCTGGAAAGCTGTCGAGATGTGAATGATTAAGTGGGCTGGGCATGCCTGGGGGGCAGCTGTGAGCTCACCACACCTGCACAGTAGTGTGGGGTGCAAATGCTTTCTTCCTGCCAGGCTCAGCTCATTTAGGAATAACTTTGCCTTACAGCACTGATCTACCGGCAGCAAGTCGGCAGCCCTGCCAGCAAGTCTCTTCACTGGGGGCCCAGGGCTGTGAGCAGACCAGGAAGAATGCTAGGGAGCAAGGGGGCATTGGCCAGGGTCCTGAGAGATCTTTATAGGACTAGTGCTAGTGTTGAGCATCCCAGCCCAGATACAGTGGGCATGTGCTCTTCCAGCTTGGGAGAGATAGCAACGAGGGGTCTTGTGAGAGCCCTGACGGCAATGATCTGCTCTTTCTTGCACTTTCCCAGACAGGAGGTTGGTGCAGGGATTTTTCGGAGAGGCAGCCCATGGACTGAGGTCTTGGTTATATGCCAGAGGGAAAAGTAGATCTCAGCCCTTTACTACAGAGGTGCGTTTTTGGGAGAAAGGCACAGCTATCCCAGAGCCTAATGGATAGATTCTCCAGCAAGACTCAGGTCAGAAAGTCTCCTGCTGTCCCCCAGGCTCCAGAAACAGAGAATGTGGAAATCCCTTGGTCCCTGGTACATACCCCTTTGCTTTCTGCAAGGGCTAGCCTAGCCTTCTAGTGCTCCTCTGATTGCAGCATTTTCTGTGGCTTTTGCTTTTCAACTTTTCCCTTGATTTTCAATGGGGGCTTGGCAAACCCATAGATCTCCTGAGTCCTCTGACAAAAACTCTTGAGCTCAGCCTGGCGGTCACATCTCTTTTCAGGGGGAGAGCTGCCCCCTCCCCCCAGCCCCTAAGGTATGTTCCAGCAAGCCCTCAGCTATTCTACTAGGGAAGAAATGAATCATCGAATCTGTTGATACAGGCTGCAGGCTGCCACAAACACATACCTGCAGGAGCTTCTAATCTCATCAGTAACATGTTGAGAATCTGCCGACCTGTTATAACGGCGGGCGAGCCGCCCTGTTCCAAGCAGCGGGAATTGCTGAGTTTTCCCTAAGCGCCAGCCCATAGCCTCCTTCAGGGCCAAGAGAATGGAAAATGGAATTCTCAGTCCATGGCTTGCCCTGCCAGAGAAACAAGACAAAGCAAGTTGTGGGGACCAGGCGGCTGGCATAACAATCTGCCACAATGGCTTCAGACAGGATCCTCGTTAGAGCCCCTCTGTAGGGCTAGGTAGAGTGGGTTATGGCTCTAGAAGGCAGAGAAAATGTATTGGTTTGATTTTAGCAAGTATCTGTCCTCAGTTACAACAAATTGCCATTCAATTGATGATGACTCATGGCAACTCCATATGTGTCAATGCAGAACTATGCTATGTAACATTTTCAATGACTGCGCTCTCTCTTCCAAGGTGCCTCTGAGTGGACTCAAACCTCCAAGCTTTTAGTTAGCAGCTGAGTGCATTAACAATTTGCACCATGACCACATACATTAGTGGGCTCTCCTGTTCTGTCTCATTCACAACAATACCACGACTTTCCAGCAGGGCAAAGTTTGGCTCCACAATGAGAATTGTAGGGGCACCCTTAAGCAGGGCCTGAAGGTTAGGTGAGGGTAGGGACTAAGACTCTGTTTTGAGGGGCCTCATTCTCAAGAGTAGAGGAATCTGGACCCTGCCCAGGCTCAGGAATCTCTAGTCAGGGCCTGTGGTTGGCCACAAGGAAACTAAAGCTGTGGGAAAACGACTCTGCGAAGAGCAGACTCAGGCGGGGTGCAATTGCTCAGCAGAGGGCTGTGCTGAGGAAGCACCTGACAGATAAATACAGGCTGACCAGCCGATGGTCAGAGCTGACATTGCCGGTCTTGTCTTGGGCAGTGAGTTTTGAGCTGCGTCGATGGAGAACTTCTGAGGCTCTTAGAGATGAGTTTTACTGAGTTCACCAATTTCACGCTTTTGGTCTTTTGGGAAACAGGTGTGACTATCTTGGGAGCCCTGAGACATGTGGGGGAGTCTCAGCCCTGATAGAACAGACCAAGCTGGAAACAAACGTTTGGGAGCAACTAGCATGAGGTCTCTCCCTCCACTGAAAGGTCACCCGCAGGGCACTACAAACACACACACACACACACACACACACACACACACACACACACGCTCCTGGGTGCAGTTCACACTGTCCTGGAGGGGAGCCCCACCCCTCAGCAGACACTGGGGCATTCACTTCTCCCCATTCATCCTCCCCCCAGCTGTGTTATGGAAAGAGCAGGAATGCAACTGGCCAGTCTGAGAATTGCTGCAATTTGCCAAGCTTGCGACTCAGTTGCCAGGGACCAGTGGTGTGTGGGTGGCAAGTAACTGTGGCTAGGAGTGTTTGGGTGCCTCATTCATGGAGGAAAGCAGTGCTCCTCTGTCAGAACTTCGTGGGAATCCTCCTCTAAGCCAGCAGGGCAACCCCTCCCTGACGCCAGACCTGGGCAGTATAAATAATGGCAGTAAGCCCCATAGGAAACCAGGCACCAGCACCATACCTTGTGGGAGAGTCCCACCCCAGCTTGGAATCTCACTGTGGCAGGAAGAGAGGGATTTCACTGGGCTCAGGAGCTGTTCTGCTGTGCACCCCACAGAGGGATTACTGAGACTTGGTAGGACATGTTCTTTAGTTCTCTGGGCATCTTTCTTCCCATCAACACCAGACTGGGGGAAGGCTATGTGGTCTTTAGTGGCTGGCCCTTCTGGGCTCCCTATCCGAGGACTGGTGTGGCCTCGCTTATATTCAGAAGACCTAGAATATGAGCAGCATTGTGTAAACAGGGAAGCACATCACAGAAGCTCCCAAGTAGGGAGCTGTATTGGTCCAAGTGTCCATAGGGCAAGGATCAGACAAATCCTGCAGTATCTGCCTCAAGGACTTTCTCCTCTGAGCTCCCACTGTAATCTGTATGTCTTTATTAGGACATAGATTTGGCTTTGCACATGTTCTCTAGGTCTCACAATGCCTTAAGTATCTTCAAGGTTGAAGAACATGTCAGCTTACCTTTGCATCCCACATTCCAGCCCAGTATTACACGCTGAAGGTGCTTAGAACACCATTTTTTAATTGAATTGACAGACAGAAGACTATGTCCTTCCACTTCTTCCCAGATATATGTGCAAGGCCCTCCCAGCCCCATGCTAAGGCCAATGGTCCTGCCCACTGTTTCACTTCTGGGTCCTTGTCTAGAGGGTGGGTCTCCCTTCCTCCAGCCAGGGCACCTTCTGAGGACAGAGCTCATGACTTTCCATTTCCTGGCCTCTCCTCCATTCCTCTTGCCTTCACTGGCCCTGAGAATCCTCTGCACCTGAGCCCACTAGTTGCTCTGGGCCTTTCTGTACCTGCAGAAACTCACAACCACGGAAGCCCCATTCCCTACTCTAGGCCCCTAACTCCATTTCCCCTCCAGGAAAGTAAGAAGGGAAAGCAATAGTTAAGGCATGAATCACCTTATTCACTGGGCTATGGCTGGCAGCTTCATCTGGGAGCCTGGAGCCAGATTCGGCAGGATGAGGAAGGGCAGATGGTGTGTGCTGCGCCAGCCCCAGACAACTCTTCACAAAGCCCTGGCTTCAGGGAGGAATTTTCCTGCCTCCACCCAAAGCCTATGGGAATCCTACCCCCACCCCAACTTTGAGTCCCTGTTTCGCCTTCAGTTGGATTCCCAGGTTTTCAGGAGCCCACTGGGGACTGGCTCCTCTGTAGATTACCCCATCACTGTGCAGCCACATCTGACTGGGAACCTCACCCCACCTCTCTAGGATTTTCAGTCGCCAAGTCTGAAAGTTGGCCTGAATAGAAATGCAAATGTCCAGAAGTAAGGCCACCACTGTACTTTGGCTCAGGTGGACTTAGGAAGCATTTCTCTGCTGTCATTTTGTGGGTCACAAGTAGGGCCTGATCCCTTGGGGTTGAGTTTTCTTGTACGAGGGCTTTATGGAAATTGGGCCACAGGGTGGAACAGCTCATGGTCCCACACAGGATCTTGTGTTGCTTTTAATCAAACTCTTGAATTGTTCTGGGGCCCTGGATATGCTACCTCACCTCTCACTGCACAACTTTCCCCATGGGTGCAGAGATATAAGCACTGGCTACAGATGTGGAAGGCAAGGTAATTGAGCTCTTTGGAGAGAACCATAAAATCTGCCATGTCTATTTGGAGCTGGCTGGGGGTGAGGCAGAAAGGGTGGAACAAACTTGATGGGGTTGCAGGAACAGCCTTGGCCCCCATCCCTTGGGCTCAGCAGTCAATTGGCATTTGTGAGGTGCTGTAGAACAGAGCTCTCAGCTTCTCTCCAACAGGCCCCTGCAAGTCTGGGGAATGTTCTTCCCTTCTTGGAAGGATATTTTGCCAGTGGCATACAAAAGCCTTTGAAAATCCCCCTTGGTTGATTGAAACTATGGGCTAGAAATCAACAAATACTTTAATTACTCAGAGGGACTTAAAAAAGGATGTGCAGCAAACTTCTGTGATTTGCTTTCTCATAGAGAAAGGTTTTATTTCTTTAATAAACACTTAGAGAGTGTATCACGTGCTGGGCACTGTCCTATTAACTTTGCATATATATCTAAAATAGCGAGCAAAGAAGAAAAGAAGGCTTGGCCAGCAAAGAAGAAACTTTGACCTTTCTCTCTGCATTGTTTTTGTCCTTACATGTGGGTGTTAATGTGCCTAATACTCTGGAAATTTGCAGCCTTGCTTGACAATGGAGACATAGGGGCATGATTTATTTATGCCAGACTTGTATCCTAAATGGGATTGAGGGCATCGAAGCCAGTTTTTCTGTATTCTTAACCTGCCCCATGTTCTTTTTCTTTCTTCTCTTTCCTATTCCCTTGGCAGTAACTAACCAGGAATGAAAAGCTCACTTGAGATAGAGATAGGGACTGGAGCTGTCCTCTCTCAGAGATGCTGCTTAGCTCCCAGCTTCCTCATCCTGAGGAAGGCATAGACAGGAAAGGGATAGAGGGACAGAGCATCTAATTTCTGTCTGGCTCTCTCTTAGGTTTGGATGAGCACCAATCATATATGATAAGTCAGCAGAGACAGAGATAATGGGATGGAGAAGAAAGAAAGTTTAGGACAGCACTGGGGCTGGAAGGGTTACTGCTTCCAGGGCCATCCCTTGGGAAACACACTTGAAGTTGGACAGTGTTCAAAGCCTACAGGCACCTTCCCTGCCCCACC